ATACAAAAGAACAAATAAACCAACATAGGATGATAATCACCATTTTTTAAAAAAGTTAAGTGAAAGAGGCCATCATGAAAGAGTACCCAGCACATGCTTCAATGTTAGTGGTGTTGTAGAGCAGACAAAACTGTGCTGTGGGGCTAGAAACCAGACAGCGGATGCCTCTGAGCAGGTGACTTACGGAAATGCTTTGTCACTGACTGTGGTGGTGATTACACAAGGGTATGTGTATGTCGAAACTCATTTAACTATAGATTTATGGGTGCAAATTATACTTCAATGAAATAACGTGGATACTTATTCACAGACCAATGAAGAAAATGTGGAATACACAGAAAAGTACAAAGTGAAAACAAACTCAAAAATCACTTGCAATTACATCCTCCAGAGATAATCAGTTCTATCTATCAGCATACGCTCACATCTTTGGAGTCCTACCATTCACACTTGGTAAAGTAGAGGGTCAACTAAAAAGGGGAAGACTTCTGTGATAGTTGGAGCTGTGTGTCAACTTGGCTGGACCATAGTTCTGTGTGGTTTCAGCAGTTGTGATGTGGGTTATTCCCATGATGGGATCAGATGTATATGTTTCGAGCAGCCAATCCATTGAAAGGGAGTTTCCCTAGGGCTATGGCCTGCTTCCAATATATTTATGGACATCCTGGGAAAAGACATTCTTCTATGGATTGGGATCTTGTTGTGCTGTCTACAACTGTCCGTGAGCCAACAATCCACCATTCGGCCTGGAGATCTTGGACTTGTCATTCCTTGGAGTCAACAGCCAGCATACTGCCTGCCAACCTTGAGCTCGTCAGCCCCTGCAGCTGTGTGAGTCAGAAAAAGCCTCCAGCTTGACGTTTGATCCAGGAACTCGGGACTTGCCAGCTTCTGTAAGTGTGTGAGCCATTTTCCTAGGATCAATGTCCCTTTCTCTGTATGTATATATAAGCTTTATTGGTATGGCTTCTCTAGAGAACCACGCCTGACACAGCCTTGAACCAGGTGAACAGACACAGAGCAGAATAACCGGCTCAAGCACGGCAAGGACTGTGACACTGTGAGGACAGTGCAGGACCAGGCGGCGTCTTGTTCTGTTGATGGATCCCTAGGAGTCCGAGGTGACTCTTGTTCACTTGCTGTGCAGCCTGCTTGAAAAATGCGCGCCACGTGCTGCTGTGGCTCTGGCAGCTGTCCCGTCCGTGACCGCCGGCTCCTCCTTGCACTGCACCAACGCGGTTCAGCCATGGGAGCAACAGCAGGAGACTAGGGGGCGCCAGGAGGCAGGGGCTGGGTATTTATTTTTCTGGCTTCTCCCTGCTAGGTCACCTTGGGCCAGCTATGTCCTCAATGCAGGCCCACAGCCCGTGGGAGCCAAGGGCTTACGGACTCTGCTTGCAGCTTCTGACTACCCACCCCCGTCCTTCTGCATAATTCCTTAAGGCTTCCTGAAACCGCGCCGCTCACCTTTGTAGGTCTTCTTGTAAATAAACCGCCTTGACTTATCCTTGAGTGAACCATCAGTTTCTTGTTCAGACGTCTTGACTGAGGAATGTAATACAGTTCCCCGAGAGCCATCTTGCGGGGCTGCCTGGTGCTCCGACATTATAAAAAAACGGCCTCGCCCAGATTCGCAAGCGTTTGGGTGTCTTGTCGGGGATTGGGGCTTATTAACTGCTGCCTGACTGAAGAGATGCAAAGACGAGAGGCAGACAGCGGGGCCGGCTGCTAGCCCAGGACCGGCCCACCCTGGCCCCGCCTCCTCGTCCGTGGGCCCGGTTCCTCATCCGCGCACCCTAGCGGGAACCCGGAGCACGCCAGTCGGCCCGGGACGCCGTCTCCGTGGCAACAGGGGTGGAACCCGCCCCCGCGCCTCCGGCTCCCGTGATCCCTGGCGAAGCGCTACGTAGCCGGAAGCTGGTGGCGGTCGGGTCGGTGTGCAGCGCGCAGCCTCGGTGCAGCACAGAGGCCCGGCCCGACCGAC